TATATTCAGCTTATGAATATCGTTCAATTTGATCAACAAGAGATCACCGATCAGATTATTGAGAAGAAGAAGTTAAAAGATGACCAATGTGACTAATGTGACCATTAGGTGGAATAATTATTTGAGCAATATGATGATAGATACATTTAATTAGGGGTCATTTAGGTTTTAGAAGTTAGGTTTTTGTTCTATTCTTTTTTTCTATTTTCATTCCTTTCTTTTTCTTTTCTTTTTTCTTTTTCTTTCTTTTTTTCTTTTTTTTTCTATCAGGTTCTAAGCTAATTAATTTATCATTATCGTTTCTCTCATACAAACTACAAATAGAGGATGTAAGTTGTGGGAACGTTTGAACTGTACTTTTCGTACAATCAACGATTCAATGATGTGATTATTAAAATATCAAATCATGAAGGTTAAAGTAAATGTTACAGTAATCAAATCATGAAGGTTAAAGTAAATGTTACAGTAGGAGTATAAATATTTTTGGAACTGTACCTTCTAAAATGGTACATATTCTTTGAAGTCTCATTAATTAATCTAACCATTCATTGTATATTCTGAAATAATACTTCCATTACTATATGGTACTGTCATGTTCAATTATTACCGTATATGAAATTGGATAAATTTTACGCATGAATGTATTGGTGAAAAAAAAAAAATACCGCTACTGGCGATACAAACGAAATTTCAGTCTTCCCGAAGTGAGCAGTAAATATGCATTTATTAGATATTAACAAAAGACTGTCGCATTGCTAACTAGGAGTAAGAATCTGTAAACTGTCGCATTGCTAACGAGGAGCAAGAATCTGTGAACTGTCGCATTGCTAACGAGGAGCAAGAATCTGTAAACTGTCGCATTGCTAACGATGAGCAAGAATCTGTAAATCTATAAACTATGATTACATTCATGAAGCATCAAACAAATTGTTCCTCAACTTCAATTACTTAAAATTTAGCAAGCTTTGGACGCAAAAGTTCTTAAAAAAAAAATTGAAATTGAATTATTATCATTAAGGAATTAGACTTTTTTTCTTTGCATATAGATAACATCAGATGTGACATCAATTTTGTAAATAATATTATTAATGATAATGATGATGACACTTTTTTTATTTTATCAATGATAATGATGATAACATTTTTTTAATTAATAATAATGATGATAACTTTGTTTTTGTTTTTGCTTTTTTTATTAATGATGATGATAATGATATTGCTTGTTCTCTTATTAATTGATAATGATGACAACATTGTTTTTTGTTCATTAATGGTAATGATAATGACATTGTTTTTTCTTACATTAATAATAATAATGATAACATTGTTTCTTTTTTATTAATGATAATGATAATTGCTTCTTTTTTTAAGATTTATATTTTTCAGTTCAAAAGTATCCAAAATGCAACAAAAAATCAATAAAGAAAGAAATAAAGTGATTTCTTGTCACATACCACTTGTCATATACCAATTTGTATGGCTTAAATATCATGCTGATAATGTGTAATTATGAATAAAAAACGAAATTTTTTCAAATAATTCGAAAATATCTATTGCTAAAAGTTTGTGACAATAAATGGGACAATTTTGTGACAATTTTTGTTTTTTTTTAACATGAAAAAGTTTCTGTTAAAACTTTTCGAAATGTTTTGTTAATTAGAGACATTTTGTAATAAACTTTTGCACACCTTAAAATGCTATATGCATATTAAAAATTGAAAAAATCTTATCGGAAAAAAAAATTTTTTTTCTTATCAATATTTTGCAAAGAAGGCGGAAATGGTAAATAGCCGCTTAGTTTGTAGGGTTTTCAAAGAGTGAATTCTCTGATAGATTAATGATTAGCAATATTGCACAATGCGGTAAATTCAACAACAAACAAAAACGCAGTAATTCAGATGGTTTGTAATATATGTAATAGTTATAATTGTCATTGAGATAGTTTAAATAAAAGCTCTAAAATGATCATTTCTTCCCGGGATATCTCATAATGGATTCTGGAAAATTCGTTAGAATCGATATTTGGGATTAAGTTATACTTACTCGCGGGTTTTTGATGGCAAAGTAAAACAAAAAAAAAAAAAAGAAAGAATTCCCGCCATACCTGAACTTTCTATATAATCTATTTATCTATTTATGTGTTGATAGCATAAAATCGATATCAATGACTTCGTTTGATTAGATTCCTTTGCGGATTTTATCGATATTTTATGTAATAATCAGATTTAAATGTTTCTTTTTCTTTTTTTTTTTAGTAATTGACTTAATTAATTTAATCGAATTCCGAATTCGAATCTAAATCCGGCAAAATTTTATTCTAATAGTTGAAGAAATTAGACAAAAAATATGCATTGAAAAGAACAGGTTTAATTTAGGCATACTTAAAAGTAATCAGTAATTAATATTTCCGATTCAATGTGTCTTTTGAGGAGACATTTGGCAATTTTTATTATCTATGAATTATCATATATGATATTGATTACTTTATCATTTCTTGTTTATGTATTTGTTGATTAGATTGTATGCTTTTTTTGATCCGATAAATTCGTTTTTAATTTTTTGATGATTTAGGTGTTGAATTTGAATGTTGAACTCACGATGGCTTCTGGTGACAAACAATCTGATCAACAGAAAAAGACCAAAAAACATTCTGATAAGCAATCAACTGAGAGCAGTAAGGAAGCAATGGCAACTTTTATGACAAAGGTTAATAATAATTCAATTTTATAAAACTAAAACAAATAATATTATCTTGTTAACAAAAGTTTTATACAAGCATATAATTCTTGTAAAAAGATCAGTGAACAAATTGATAAAGTTATCATGCTAACAAAACTAATCCCATAATGTACAGTATTTGTCCACTAATGGGTCATTTCGATGAATATGAATAGATTCTGATAATATTTAGTTCATATGAGATAGTAGATTAGTGTACAGTATTTGTCCACTAATGGGTCATTTCGATGAATATGAACAGATTCTGAGAATATTTAGCTCATATAAGATAACAGATTATGTTATTAATAATGAAATAATTTGATAAACTACAGTAATCTTCATTTGATATGTCATTTACAATTGTCAATTGAAATATTTCAAAAAATTTTCGCATAATTTTGGAGTGGTCTTTTCTTTTTTTTAAATTTAGAATTATTAAAAATATGGTTTAGGTATGTGCCCGTCTTGAAAAAATACATCTAATGTCACGCTTATTGGAAGAACCAGAAGAGAAGAAATCACAGAAAAGTATGGAAACAAAGTCAAAGAAGACAAAAAAATCTCAAGAAATTTCAAAGAATGTTTATGAATTTTTTTGTGATCAACCATCAACAAGTGAACAATCAGATCCAAAATTAGCATCAAAAAAGAAATCATCTGATTCTCATAAACCATCAACTAGCAATATAACAACAAGTGATCAGAAGGAATTAAATAAGGATGCTGGAGTTAGTTCTACAATTTCAACCACTGAATTATCAACATCAACACATTCATCAACATTTGATGAAAATGAAAATCCCAATGAACCATCAACATCAACCGGATTACGGAAGAGTAAAATTGATGATGAAGAACATATAAAACCAATGAAATCAACAAATTCTAAGCAGGAACAAATTGATACCGAAATGTCATATAAGCCAAAATTATCCAGTTTATATGGTATTCACAAGAAAACTCATCTAGGAACGCCTTCTGATATCACTGATAATACTCAATCAATAACACACAAAAGCGAACATTCAAAGCAAACGGTAATAACTTCTATTTTTCTAATTGTTAACTTTAAATTTAATGATCCATAAAACTCACTACTAAGTAGTAGTAGTAGTAGTAGTAGTAGTAGTAGTAGTAGTAGTAGTAGTAGTAGTAGTAGTAGTAGTAGTAGTAGTAGTAGTAGTAGTAGTAGTAGTAGTAGTAGTAGTAGTAGTAGTAGTAGTAGTAGTAGTAGTAGTAGTAGTAGTAGTAGTAGTAGTAGTAGTAGTAGTAGTAGTAGTAGTAGTAGTAGTAGTAG